TTTTAATTTATTTTAAAAGTTGAGATTAATATGTACTTTTCTCATAAATTAAATTTAGGCTATAACCATTACTTAGCAAAGGTCTTCCTTCCGCGGCTTCGACCTATTATTATTAATAAATACTTACAATATCCAACGCAAATATTTGTCACCAAGTCATTTAGGGCTTGTTTTGTTGTTTGTAGTAGTTATTTTTTTAGTTAAATTATAAAAGTAAATTAAAATGAAGAAAATTTCAAGAAAAATTAAGTTTTAATCTTTAATTTTGTACTTAATAATTTCTTAGAAGACTAGAAAGAGTGCATAGGAAGTGTTTGGATTAGTAGTTCATATAAAGTTTAATAATTGATATTTGATAGTTAATAATCATTATTATTTATAATTTAAAATATTTAATCCGTACAATTAGAGTAAATAGTTGATGGTTACTTTTGAAACAATAATCTATACACCCCCATATTCTTCATTCATCATTTAATTTAATAAAATTTATCAACATTAAACTACTTTTCTTTTTCTGTTCTTAGTAACTCTTGACATAAGTTATACAATAGTATATAGTTCTTCCTTTCCTAAGGGCCTGTTTGGTTACCCTAGATCCCGGAAAAACAATCCAGGGATGCTGCACTTTTGAAAGCAATGGCTTGGTTTGGAAAAATCATTTTCTGAGTACAAATTTCATCCTAAAAAGTAATTGATTATATTGCTATATAGAATCAATTATATTACATTAAAATTAAAATAAGTGATTGCTTTTCAATTGTAGTTGATTACTGGACCTAGAAGGAAACATTCCGCCGTTTTGCATTGAGAAATTCTTCCCAAGCAATCATAATGTGATTATGTTATTTATAAACACTTATATTTCTTCAAAATAAATTTTATCAATTTACAACTATTGGATTTTTTTGTTGAGTTTTGCGTCAAAAATTACAAATGCTAGATCAAGCCAAGCCATATTTTGCATGTGGCTTCTACATAAATACCTCTCGAGGAAGAGTATACCACACAAACTTTAAATCTCTTTCTAACCCATCTTAAATTCAAAATCAAAATCTCTAACATGAAACTCAAGTTATTAATTAGATGTCCCCTAAAAGACATGTTTTTCTTTTAATCCTCAAAAAATGAGTTTTCTTAGAATAGTCATTAATGGAAGCATCATTTCAAAGCTAGAAAAATAAATTTAAAAACTACTCAAGATGGAAAAATGTTCAAGAAATTAACCAAAATGGGTCCAACACTCCAATAAACTCAATTGAAAACTTGGGCCGAAACCATTTACACCAAAAACGCAAACTTAGAATCAAGCCCGGCAGGATCTGATTTTAAACCGAATTTTTTGGGCCAAGAACTTTTATCCGCGTCGTTATTCCGTTATTTGATTCCGAAGAATTTTATGTAAATCAGGCCGAAATACCCCAAATCCAATTTGACTCTTTCGATTTATTTGTGCCCAGGCTCATCAACCTTTCGGTGCTGGGCAATCCAACTCGACCCCAATAGTCCAATTGAATTCAGGGTTAAGGAATCCAAATTGAAAATTTAAAATCCAATTTGATTTGAGAAATCACAACAGACCTTAAACTCAACGCCCCAAACCAAATTAGTAAGCAAAGTAAATTTGTTTAAGTATTTTTTTTTTAAAAGAGAAATAAAAATCAAGACTTACGAAATTGTTTAAATTTTTTTAATAAATTTTTTATATATTAATTGATTAAGAAAATTTTAATTTTTTATTATTATTCTTAATATTCTAATAGTTATGACATTCTAAATTTCTACGCACTCTCTTTTTAATGGCCAGCACCTATTGTTTCCTTTTTTTTAAAAAAAAAAATCCTTATATCGTCATTATTCCTCAGCTATTTTTTTTTTTAATTTTTTAGACATAAATAGTGTTATTATTAATATAAAGAAATTAGATCACATTAAAATTTTTATATTAAAGTAATTATAACTTAGTCAAAAACATAATTTACAACATTAGATATAAGATGAAAATTATAACTATAATAAATATAAATAATTAAGTATAAAAAATTATCTGTATTTAGTGACTACATTAACAATAGTTAAAGTATATAATTCTGCATAGTAAAAAGTAGCCACTATGGCTACCCAACTGGCAGGCGGGTCATGGCCCTCCTCTAGGGTAGCACCAAAGTTTTCAACTAAAACTTTCAAAACTTGTTCTGCCAAGTCCGGCACCATTCTCCACCACACCCCGTTGATGAAGTCGTCATCCGCTGCCACCTACAGATCTCACCCTTGCAACCTTCTCCTTGGATTAAGATATGGAGTTTGATAGCAATCAAACACAATCCCATAACACCGAATTGGTCCGCCAAATCAAAGCACAAAGCAAACGGGCAACTACCCGCAGCCCTCCTAGATGAATAATTTTTGCTCCACCACCACAAAACCCCTCCGATCAAACAACATACTGAGAGAAAAAGGGATACACAAAAGACGAGCACTGGAATTTGGAAACAAAAAAGAAAAAGAAAAAGGAAAAGAATAGAAAGGGGTAAAAAGGGTTGGAAGAATCGGAAATAAAATTAAGCCAAAACCCTCCATTAAGTCCCCCAACTAACTCTAAATTCTCATAAACCCCTAGGTTTTTATTAAAGCAAATAAATCAATAAATTTCTTGAGTTGGACAACTTAACTTTTTTTCTTACGATAGACTTAAAACTCATTTATGCCTTACTTATATAAACAAGATCAGCATCCATCATGTAAGTAATGACATATTAATAGTTTATTCAAATAAGCGAGACACAAATTGATATTAAGTCAATTATAAAAAAAAATATGAATAAATTACCTAGAGGTTTTTCATAAAATTAAAAGAATAGATTATACAACCATGGACTGAAATGAAAAGTAGTAGTTTTTCTAAAGGGAGAAATTCAAAAGAAAGAAACCTACAACCTTATGTCGAAACCAAATTAGGAGAGAGAGAGCGGCGCGGTAATTGACTAATTAAGCTGAAGTAATATAATATGATCTTTGCAGCCTTGTCCACTTATGTAGGGAAGGCAATAGGTCCTGTGAGGGCGAGAATGGGACTCCTTCCCCATCCTTCCCCATCCTCGACATTGTCAATGGTGGATATGGGACTTTTTGTAGAAATTTTTGATAGAGATAGAAAAATCCTTCATCCCCATCTCTTTGTAGAGTGACAGGTCTCTACATATACGTGAATTTCTTGTCAAATATTAAAATTGTAAAATTAAATTTTGTTTTCTTTAATAAATAAATTTTATAATATTATATAAAGAGTAAGTTACAAAATATAAAAATAAAAACTTGTAAAAGTAAAAACTATGTAAAAAAATTTCACAAATGAGATGTTCCCAAAATAGTTTTCATAAAACTTTACAAATTTAACCCAATAGGATAGTACAATAGTTAAGAATTTAAATTTTAAAATTAGAGATTTTAAATTTAAATTTTAAATTAAATAAAAAATAATTAAAAAAAAATAACCCTTTTGGTATACCCAAACGTTATCAAATATATATATATATATATAAAGCCTATACAAATTTCAAAGCAAATCGCCATCTACTGGATTAAATTTCTTACTTTGACTATTCAGCTATTCAGTAAGTTGTGATTTATTGACCACTCAAATGAGAAAAATATTCAAACACTTAAAATTTAAATTTCAATAGATAATACATTTTACGTGCTGTGATTTAGTGGTTATTTATTGTTTGAAAGAACAATTCATAATTTACACTTTCAAATCTCATGTTTAATACTTTTTATTAACATTTTTAATATAATAATCTTTAATAATTATCTTTATAAAAAAAATTAATATATAATAATTTATTGACCATTCTAATAAAAAAAATTATTAAACACTTAAAATCTAAATTTTATATTCAGATTCTCTTTGTCAGAGATTCCCTGCTATAAAAAAAAAAATTCTTTTTTTCTTACTCTAACTTTATTATTTATAACCCAATGGCATTTTCCTATCTAACAGAACGTGGCACCTTCTCGCTCATCGCAGTCGACATGTTACATCGTCCCCCTTCTCAAATACCAATCCACCACGCGTAATTGCGTATATGAAATGGAAGTCCAATCCAATACCTTTGCTTTCACACAGAGGAAAGAGAATGGATTTTAGGACCACTATCTTTTGATTATTACTACCACTAATTTTATTATGGTTATTAAAATTGTTAGAATTAAAATTTATTTATATATAAATTTATATAAAATTTTAATTATTTATATTTTTAATAATTAAAATTTATTTATTTTTATAATATTTATTAAAAATAATTATTTTTATTTAAAAAATTATAATAAATCTTTAAAAAAGTACCAAAAACTAAGGTGTATACGTACGCAAATACCTTTATAAAATCTTCAAATGAGATGTTCCGAATGGGTTTACCAAACACACTCCTGGTGGTAATCCTTATAACATTTGTCCCTGCCAAGTCCACCAATCCAAATTTCATGATGATACTAGTTTAAAAATTTTTTTAGTACATATACTAGTTAAAATTTTTCAAATGAAAGAACTAACCTCTAACTATTGGATGTAATTAAACATAGATCTAGGTTGTTGGCCCAAAAAAACCATTTGATCTGGGCTCATTA